AAATAATATAGGGGTTGATTATCTTACGAGCATTTTCCGTTTTAGGTGAATATGGCTTCCTATACGATGCAGACAAACACCCAAGCACATCATGTCTAAGCTGTAACTACATATTTACATATTGACTTGTCAAGTATTGTCCAGTGGATATTACGTTAGCACAAGCACTTCACAAGTGTATACAGTAGCGGGTATGTATTCACCTAGCGGATAGTATCTTATCAGGCCTAGTTGAAAGGAAAATGGGACTGTCGCCGCAGATGAAGTGACAAACAATTTGTTTTAGTGGGGAAGAATGTGAGGTTTTTGCGACCGAGAGAACGAGATAAACCAATGGTTGGTTTCGGTAGACCAATTGAACCTAAAGCAACCGATGGCTCAAACCACCCAACAGCTTAGATTTGTAGGTATACTCAGTAATACACACTGAAAACCATCCCCATTGTATATATATACTATGTATCGTATTGCAGTACTAAGTCGCTCACACTCAACCACTCTGACACTCTCAGTCACGGGAGTGCAACGCGGATATGATCTGGAGGCTGTGTTCATGACGCTAGAATCGATGCTGCACTACTTTGAAACGGGTGCAAACAAGCACCTGTTGCACCACTTCACCTCCACAATGGGACACGGGACACCCGCTCAATGCTGGGAGGGCATGCACCCGGACCAGGAGAAAAAGGACTCGGTCCATGAAACAGGACAAAAGTGCAACAAAGCGTGGTTGCTTGGCAAGTACCGGCTTGTGGTGAGCTGTGTGGTCAATGCATACCAGAACGATGCACAACACACACGTGAAGGTAGGTATAGTGGCGTATGTTCTTGTACTTATCTTGTCTATCAACAATCATACCCGTTGTCGGGGTTGAGAGTCCTATGGAAACAACACACACACTCAAACACACACACAAACAGATACACACACAAACACACACATGCAAACACATACGCACAATCGTTTACGTGCCACACATGTATACACAGCGCGTGCACTCAAACACATGGGCAAGTGTGGAGGGGGTAGTGATCCAGTTAATGTAGCCGATATATGCGGAGACAAGTTTCTTTCTATTCTCGCCAAAACAAACCGATATATATACACACAC